CCCTGCGTGCCCCGGGGCGGGACGGCTCCCGGCCCCCCGCGCAGCCCCGGCTGGCGATGTACCCCCCTGGGCGGGCTGGGGGAGATGTTCCCCCCCGGCCTTCTATCGCTTCACTTTCCCAGCGCTAAAAAGCAGCGAATTGGGTTAGAAACATAAAGAAAAAGCAGGGTGGGTTTAGGAGAAGGTGTCTGTGGCATCGCATGCCCTGTGTCCTTTTGGCTATGCACTCTTGGTCTGTTGCTGCAGGATGGAAATCTTAAATAAACACACAATGCGATTAAATCCTGGGGTTCTGGTGCGATATAGGGGGAATTACTGCTGCCAGCTCCCACTATTCATTGTGTGCGCCTAAAACCTTGGCTCCTCAATCCAGAGGACTGTGTGAAACTGCCATGGTGGAGAAAGGGAAACAGAGAAAAAATATATTTCTTGTCTCTATGATGAGGGAGGAAAAGTTTAGAAAACCGTGATTCTCAAGTTACATATCCTGAATGAAAACAAGCCTAGTGCAAAACTTTATTATTTTATTATTAATGACTTGTAAAGTGCTCTTGCTTTATCTGAGGGAGCTTTGAACTCCAGGGGAGAAGAGGAGCCCGCCACCTGGTCCCTGTGGAGAACAGCCCATGGCTTGATCACAAGCAACAAGCATCTTTCCAAGGACTCTTACTTTCTTCAAGCTCCAGTCTTCACCCACAGATTCAACACTTCTTGTTAATGAGTCATAATTTCCCTTGCCTGCGGAGCACGCTGAGTAACGAGGCGTTTTCTCTCTCTTTGCCCAGGAGCAGCATCAAGTGGGATTGTCTCGGACCACAGGGCCTATGCAGCCTTCTGTCCCACCGGGATCCAGCAGCGTGGTCACAGGCACGAGCTCTGGGGGTCCCTTCCTAGGAAACCAACCTCAAGCGGCCATCATGAAGCAGATGCTGATTGAGCAGAGAGCCCAGCTCCATGTGATAGAGCAGCAGAAACAACAGTTTCTAAGAGAGCAAAGGCAGCAGCAGCAGCAGATCCTAGCGGAGCAGGTACAGTATCCGTCTGTCTGGGGCGCTGCAGTACACACTGGTACAAGAGCATGAGTGCTAGAGACAGTGCAACACCAGCCTTTCCTTTTATATTTGGTAATTTTATCTCTGTGGCTCCTAGCGTCTTTCAGCAATGGTTATCAAAGAAGAGGCGCCTGCCTCAGTCATGCCATTAGCTTGGCATGTATTACCTGTGCTCCTTTAGAGGTTGGTTTGACAGCCACATGGGATTTTAGACACTGGAAAGGTTAGCTCTTAACCTGGTATCTCATGGTGCATTTATGCTGGCAGAAGCAGACTCTGCCTCAGTTACAGTTGCGGGTGCTCTCCCCTACCTCTGACTACAATCTTGCACTGGCAAAAGCTATGAACAACCACACAGTGATCTGGGACAAAGAATTAACGCGGGTTAACAGTAACCTAGCACAGAAAACCAAAAAATTTAGTATTTATCCAGATCGATTTCTTAGTCTGATTTATCATGAGCAATTATGTTAGCAGAAGGGAGAGGCGGCATCAGGGGGGAAGCAGAGAACAGGAAAACCACCTCTCACGGTGGCAGCGTGGAGCTGCTGCATTGGAGCCTGTCACCTGGCCTCTGGAGCTCCTGGGCTTTGCAATACGGATGTTAAATTACCTGGTCTGAATGGTGATGTCTTCCGTGTGTTTAACTTAGTTGTAGTTTAAAAGCAACCCGTGAGAAAGTCGGTGGAAAGTCCCACTGTTCAGTTCCTATAAGCTCATACCTAAATTTAAACTTGTAGTCCCCTAACGTTACCTCGATAATGTTCTGATAGGTCAGTAGTTGCTTTAAGCTTGGCCTCACCTCTCTTGCTGGGGAAATAGAATTTAAGACTTGGGGTCTACTTTAATTTGCGTTAGAACTTGTGCATATTGTATAACTGCAGAAATACTGACAGCCTTCCCCTTTTCTCATGGTTCTCCCGAGAATCAGAAAAATTCACCCCAGGGAACAGGAAGGATGCTGCTGGAAATATTCAGGATAAAGATGCATGAATTAGTTCAGGGGTGAACAAGTGCAGAAGAGTGAGGAAGCAGTAATGTTCCCCCATCACGGATTAGGCCAATTCAAGTGCATAAACCCAAGAGCCAGTCACTGACTTGGCTGCTGAAGGCAAGCCTAAAAGCATTGAAAAGCCACAAGGCTGAGGCTGTCAAGTGTGCTGGCATAGAGGAAAAGTGTTAAAGTCACAGTCATCGGCTCCTAGCTTTTGGGTGTTTTGTGCCTAGCAAGGTTCCCTTTATCTTTTTGATAGTTTGTAACACGTATTTATGAACACAGGGATTAATACTTGCTTCTTTCCCATCTTTGTCGTTCTCTTACCTTCGTTACACATCCTTGGGTTTGGACACGGTGTTTGTACAGCTGCAGATGAAGCACCAAGACATGTCCTTTTAGTAAGTGCTTAGTCAAGTATGCCCTAGGCTTTCAATGCTCTGGTAAACACGCTCTCTGTTTTTATAATCAGCCCTCAATTCTGTTTTAGATGCATGAGTATTCATCGAAAATAACCACAGAGGAGCAGTGTGGGCTGGATCAAGGGAGAGAGGCATTTTGTAATCACCTGCTCCCCAAATATCGTTCACTGAAGCACAAGAGGAAAAGTGCCTTACTAGCCGTTCCTGTTTGGGCTTGGGAATGGTCCTAGCCCGCAGTGCTCATGTCAGGATGCAGTGCTCCTTGCAGCTGAGTGTTTTGAGTGCAGAGGTGGAGGAAGGTCTTGTACTAGGACCACAAACCTCTAGACCTTGGCGGGGCTGGGGGGAAGAAAGGGTGTGTGGCTACAGTTGCCCCTAGACCTAGGTGAGCAAAGTTATTTCATATCCCTCCCTCTCCTTTCAGCCTGAAGACAAGTAAGCTTGTGCTGTAGAGGTCAAGATGAAGTGGTTGTAAGTAAGGAGAAACGATGTTAGCCTCAGTGCTTATTCTTTTTTGAAGCAAAAGGAGTCCGTGTGCTGAGTAGCCCGAGTGCTACTCAGTCTTCAAATGACTGCTTGTCTCTCTAGAACAGCTCGCTAGATAAGAAACGCTGCGGTTCTGCTGCAGTACTTTTGCCACCAGCCCCTTTCTCAGCTCACTAATTAATTAATCATATTTTTCTCTTCTGCTTTCTTTCCCTCATTCATTTTCAGCAGTTGCAGCAGCAGTCACATTTGCCTCGGCAGCATCTGCAGCAACAGCGGAGCCCATATCCAGTGCAACAGGTCAATCAGTTCCAAGGTAAAAGTCAAATTCTTTTTCCTATATTGGAGTCAATGTATGCCCCTGTAGCGGGCACATGAAAGCTCATGCGTGTTGTGAAGACCAGGGTTTAAGCAGTGTGCCAGAAGAGGAAGACAGGCTGTTGCACACTTGCACATACAGCATATTTTACCAAAGGGGAATGCCCAGGTTTGTGTATTTAGTTAAGTTTCTAATTTCCTTTCTGCTCCCCTCAGCAAAAGCTGCATTTTTTATTTGACGTTTGTTTTGCCTCTTTGACATCTGGATTCTATGGATTTATCTTGTTTGCCTCCGCTCTTGTTATGCCTTTTTTTTTTTTTTTTCCAGCTAGTGTTTCTCCCTGTTTATACAGCATATTTTACCAAAGGGGAATGCCCAGGTTTGTGTATTTAGTTAAGTTTCTAATTTCCTTTCTGCTCCCCTCAGCAAAAGCTGCATTTTTTATTTGACGTTTGTTTTGCCTCTTTGACATCTGGATTCTATGGATTTATCTTGTTTGCCTCCGCTCTTGTTATGCCTTTTTTTTTTTTTTTCCAGCTAGTGTTTCTCACTGTATCTTTTACCCCTCTTCATTCCCCACTTTATCTAATTTGATGAGCAGAATTTCAGAGAGGTCACCCTTATCTGGAGAAGTGACTGCTAAATGTCAGGTGTGGGAAACACAGTGAAATTTCTGAGATGTAAATGGGGATTTATTCATGGTCTCAAAAAAAGGAAGTATTATTTCGATGTGCTCGCAGGTAACTGAAGAATGCAAGTACAATCATTCTGGCTTAGGAGAAGTTAGTTCTAAGCTTTTAGGTGCAAAGCATCAGCTGAATGTCTTCACTAACCATGGATTCTGAACAGACGTGAAACGAACATGCAGGTGCGCTGTATATTCACGGCAGCGTCATGTAACTGCAACAGAAAGCAAGGGAGGCAAGCATGTTGCAGTTCTTGCACCCAGGAAGCAAAGAGGTAGCCAGAACTTCTGCTGGTATATATAGGGTGGCTCCTTCTAATCGCCTTCTCGTTTTTATCTTCGGCAGCATAAATTCTGTGTGAAATGATTTTTTTTTTCCCCCCCCAATAATTCATGTGAAAATCAAAATATATGTGTGTGCACTGCCATACACTGAGATGCACATGTAAAATCTTTCTGCATTAATGCTTCTTTGTAACCTTGCCCTCATATGTATTATTTAAAAGAAACAGAGAAGAGAGTTTAGGCTAATCTGACAGAACAAGGAATTAATTTTCATAAATGAGTTAATTTAAATATAAATATTTCACCATTTTTCCTATTTAGTCACAAGAATGTAATCCAGTGCAGTAGGTTATGTGTAAATGAGACCAGAAGGTGGCCCAAAATCTCAAAATCTATTGCATCTCTCTTTTAACTACTCCTTGTCTGATCTCCTGTCTCTTATGCTAAGCATGGCAGTTAACAAAAGTAGTAAGTGGTATGTGAACTACTTGCTGGTAGCGACTCCTTTGGAGGTTATCAACTGCCATTTTCAGTTAAAAAACAGCTAAAGATGCATTAAGTAAATTTTTGACATTATCTGGATCTTAAGCACTTGCTGGAGCCATCGTAAAAAGAGAATGCTTCTAGGAGGAGGAGGTGATCTAAATTAAGAAAAATCAAGGGGATCCCAGTGCCAATCATTAAGAAAATGGTTTGATAGCATGGATATAAAGTAAAAGCTGCCACTATATTTGCCCTCTTCAAGTGAGATCCAGATGGTCCCTCTTCATGCTACAAAACGTTTCATTTATCTACGTGCTGGAGCTAAAAGCATCCTGCAGCAGCTTATCCTGCTGCAGCAACAAGGCGATGTAGCCGTCCTCTGCATTACATGCAGAACTACAGAAATGACACTTCTTTTATTCATACTTATTTCTTACGGAAACCAAGCCAAAGTAATGAGCAGGGCCCAGTATTCTCTATTCCCCACACATGTTCGGGTACGTCATCTGCCACTGAGGGACAACAGATAGGCGCTGATTTAGGAACATTTGGATTTTGTTGCACGGGTCACGACTCTTAAAGCAACCACTTTATATTTACATCTTGCATTGAATAATGTTTGAGCCGGGAGTAATTGTGTGCCTCATACTCTCAGAGCTTCGCCTGCAGAGTATTGTATTTAGTTTGGTATGGTAGGGACTCAAAACCACAATGAACCCATGGTATAATCAGAGCTCCGGTAATTGTTTTTAAGTCAAGATAGTAAATACAGAAGCATATTGGCTTCCCAAAAACCGATAGCCCCCCCACTTCTGAAAGGAAGACACAAGCATGGTTCAGTTGTCTGCCACGGTGTGGAATTTAACAAGGTTAGGATTTTCTGGTTTCCCATCACTGGCCTAAGGTGGAGTAAAATGTGCTTATAATATCGATTCACTAATACACTCTCCCCGCTTTAAATGTCCACAAAAAACAATTTTTCTTCTTTCCATAGACTTAATCAGTAGCAATGATATAGAAAATCCATTCATTTATGCCTCCTGAGCTATTAAAAAATTGATTGGCCTTCTGAGCCTGACATTTCCATTTTCAAGGCTTACTTTTGAAAGACAATGGAGATATTTAAAAGAGAGCTTCAGACGGTAAACTGAAGTTCAGCTGCTTTGCTGCCATAGAAGATGACCAGTGGAAGCTTTCCCATTTGCTTGCTGGAAGCTGAATTAGGCTTATCTGAAGAAAAGTGCTACTGAATCACAGTGCCTACGCAACTTTGAAGTGTCAGGGACTAATTTTTTTTCATGGAGGAGGGTGCACATTGTCACTGGTCCTGGGGGAAAAAAGTACACGCAGGAAGGAAGACTCACATTTACTTTTGAAAAGGGACTTTGAGTCCCAGGTCACTTCTTAAAAATTTAATCTCTGGTCCTAGTGAAGTAAGAGGCCTATTTTAGCCCTGCAGCTCCTGTAGCTGTTTAGCTTAGGTACCCGAGTAGGTTATTGCCAGGGAGGGAACTGTGGCTGTAATCACGCGTCACGCATGCAATCGTGTTGCCTCGATTCTTCAGGAATCTGAAGCCATGAACCCCTTTGGGTACACATCCCCAAACTGTCATAATTGAGAACTACTTAGTGAGTAAATTATTGGCCTTCTAACCTCGCCAGCCTCGTTTTAGGCCTTAAGGGAAATTAGGCTGCTCGTCTGTGTCAGTGGTATTCTCTGCCGAACAGTGTCCCGGTTCACAAATTGAATGCATAAGACGATCAGCGATTCCTGCTTAGGGTAGCACTTGAGCTGTGTTGACTCTCACCTCCAAGGAGAGGGGACCTGGCAGGTCAGGACAGAGGCTGCAGCCAGAGCGAGGTGGGGAACACATAATCTCTGAAATGCAACTAACATTCGGCAGCAAGCACATCTCCCAAGGATGGATAACCTTCTAGCTCTCTGCTAACCTTCATGTGAAACAGTACTTTATTCACTTAGAAAGCATAACATCGGAAATCCTACCGTGATGCAGAAGGCTCCTGCAGATTCTCTCTTATGCAAAGGTGTGTTAATTAAGATTTACAGGGTTGTGTTTTTTTCTTATCTTCCTCCCTTTTTGGTGTAGGTTCTCCCCAGGATATAGCAGCTGCGAGAAACCAAGCAGCACTCCAGAGCATGAGGACATCCCGAATGATGGCCCAGAACGCGAGCATGATGGCGATGGGTCCCTCCCAGAACCCGAGCACACTGCCCACGACTGCAGGCCAGTCAGACATGGGCATGGCTCCTTACAGCAACGCCTCTTCCAGCCAGCCGGGAATGTACAGTATGAGCACAGGGATGAGCCAAATGTTGCAGCACCCAAACCAAAGTGGCATGAACATGGCACATAACGCAGGCCAGGGAACAAGGCAGCCTGCCTCTGGACAAGCGGTGGGAATGGTCGGCAGTTTTGGTCAGAACATGCTGGTAAACTCTGCTCTTCCCCAGCATCAGCAGCAGATGAAAGGACCCGTGGGCCAGGTCTTACCCAGGCCCCAAGCACCACGACTTCAAAACTTGATGGGGACTGTCCCTCAAGGAACACAAAACTGGCAGCAGCGAGGCTTACAAGGTATACCCGGGAGGACTAGCGGTGAAATGGGGCCCTTCAATAACGGCACAGCGTACCCCATGCAGTCTGGGCAGCCACGGCTGTCCAAGCAACATTTCTCACAGGGGCTTAATCAGACGGTTGTGGACACGAGTGGAACAGTAAGAGGCCTGAACCCAGCGTTGGGGAGACAGTTGCTGCAACCACTACCTGGGCAACAAGGAGCCAGCCAGGCCAGGCCGATGGTAATGCCGGCAATAAGCCAGGGGGTCCCCACCATGTCTGGCTTCAGTCAGCCTCCGACGCAGCAAATGCCAGGCGGTAACTTTGCTCAGAGCAGCCAAGGCCAGGCCTACGAGAGGAATCCCACTCAGGACATATCTTACAACTACAGTAATGAAGGAGCAGGGGGGTCATTCTCCAGTTTAGCAGAGGGCGCAGACCTTGTGGACTCCATCATTAAAAGCGGACCAGGGGATGAGTGGATACAAGAACTTGATGAGTTGTTTGGAAACCCCCAGTGAATGGGCTTGTATAGTCTGGAGCTTTGGTTGTTACGTTTGAAAAAAGAAGAGAGCGAGTTGGATGTGCTCCCCATCCTGGGCTTGTTGGTTTTTTGTTTGAATTGCTTTGGTTTGGGGTTATTTTGTTTTCTTTTGTTTTTAATCGTGCAAACTGAGCTGATCTGTAGCCAACTTTGGAAGATTCAGGGGACGATGAAAGCATCGGCCTCCCAAGACTTCCACCAAGCAATCTCTGTTGCGTGGCAGCACTCGCTGCGTGTGTGGTGGGGGCAGGATGGGGAAACTGGAAAAGCCAGGTGATGCCTCTGGTTGGGAAAATTTGGTCTTTCCCCACTGGCAGGAGGCTTCATTGCACGGTGGTGTGGGGTGGTCCCGGTATCTCCCACCCCATGTAACTGTAAACACGGCAACTTTCAGGGGAGCAGACGAAATCAGCCGGGAGCAAAGCCTAAAGATGTCCGTGGGCGATTGCACAGGCCCTGGTCGGAAAGGGGCTTAACCCCGGGGGTAAGCAGGTCTTGGTGAGCCACAGCCGGGCCCGCGGGGCCGGCTCTGGGCTGCCGCAAGGGAGTGTGTGGCACGCACGTGACAAACCTAAACAGTTGCAGGGAGGTCACGGTTTTCACTGCAGAGTGATAAAAATCCAATAAAAGTGTAGGAGACCATAAATTTGGCAGTGCGATGAGGACAGTTTGATTATGGGACTGCTGCTGGAGACGGCTTAGGCGGGTGGGTTAACTTAACGAGCTGTTTGGTCCCCTCGGGACTTGCAGCAGCGCTTCCCTGTCAGAGCACTTTGGCGTGTGCCTGCTGCCTGGGGGTGCAGGACAGCAGCTACGAACGGTGTCGAAGGGCTGAGCGGTACCAGGAGACGTCCGCACAGGTCCTAAGCGGGTCCTTCTCCCTCCTTCCTCCCCAGAACGTTTTCAGTCCGCTCCCTTGCCCTCCTACCCCTCAGCGTAAAGCGAGGCGAGCTGGCTGCACTTTTTGTCAGGTGGGCAACAACTGCCACAAAGGGGTAGGCAGGGGAGGAGAAAACAGGCATGAGAAAATGTACAGGGAGGGTTTGGCACGCAGAATGAGCTTCTCCTCTCCTCTTGGAAAGTGCAAGGTCGGCCGATAGTATTGCCCTGGAGCGTCTGGGCTCTCGATGCGATGTTGTATGCAACCTGCTCTTTGGTTTTAAACAAATGTTTGGTCTAATCTCTCTGGTTTGCTGGAATAAAATCCTCGGCAGTATTGGAAGAACAGGAACCAGTGAAGGACTACCGTAAAGATCCTTCACGAGTGGGTAAAATAATTGATGCAGTTATTAGGAACATGGAGTCTGCCCAAGTAAGCTTTTGGGTAAGGGCGACGTATCGCTCGCTCCACTGTGTGGACCAGTCCTGAGCCGCGCTGTAATGAAGTCGAGATGTGTCCTGCACAGCACTGGGGCGCCGGCCACCCCGAACGTCTCAAGCAGCGGTTCCCAAGCTGCAGCCTGAGGCCGAGGTAAGCCGTTCTCCAACACCTACCACCTTCGTAGCGTTTTCAGCCGAGAGCTGCTTATCGGGGTATGTCGTGGTGCGTAAAAAATGTCAATGTGATCCAGTCCAAAAAGTTTGGGAACCTCTGGCCTAATGCTGACCTCTGTGAGCCGTAAGATGTGCTCTGCAGCGAGAGCGTCCCTAGTGTACAGCTACCAGTGCCAGCTGTCCAGCTCCCCACCGCCTCCCTGTGTGCTGCTCTCCTCCTGCCCGGCGGTGCTGCGCTGCTGAAATCCATGGGAGCTGAAGGGCCGGGCACCTTGCATTTTTAAGTCCCACCTTTCCCCGTGGAGCACAGATACGCATCACATCAAGGAGCTGGAAGCAAAACGGGCCTGGAACCATCTCAGCGCCCCGTTACGGTTCCCTTGCAGGGCCTACCTAGGCGAGGGGAAGTATCTGTTTTAAATGCTGTAAGGTAGGCAGGACAAGCTGCATTTTTAACGTGGACTAGCTAGTTGAGGTGAGCTATCAATCCAGCTTGCCCTGACTGCTACGTTTTTTTAAAATGCTTTGGTTACATCTCTTTTAGCTAACCCCTTTTTAAAATACAGTGCAAGGCCCCAGCGGCGCCGGGGACGGCAGAGCATCCCTTTCTCGGGCGCGAGGCGCTGGGGGGGGCCCGCCAGCGCAGAGCTGGGGAATGAAGTGAGGGTTTAGAAACACACGAGCACCGCGCGGGGGCCAAGGGCAGGTCCGTGTGCACGAGGGAGATACAGGCTTTGGTGAATAAATGGTGACGAAGACTGGGTCTCTGTTGTCTTTGTAAAGCTTCCTCCAAATACTCCGTACTGGGACCAAGTACTAGAGAGGTAGATTTTAATAGATTTGGGGTTGGGTTTGGTTTTTTTTTTTCTTTCTTACTATGGTGCTGATGTATATGTAATGTTAAAAAAAAAAAAGTTATTTGTAAATATGTTTTTACAATTCTACAGATATCACTGGGTCTACTATCTGTAAAATATATACATATAAAAATATATATATATACTGTTTGTTTAAAATAGAGTATTTTTATTTCATTCCTTAATTCATCCTTACTGCAGTGGTATTGCACTTCAGATGACGTCTATTTACTAATTTGTACTGTATCCCTGACAGCAACTTGCTCCATTTTATTCAGATTTTTCTAGTTTTCTGTTTTTACTTTGTACATTAAGCATTGCTTATTTCCTTTTAAGACCTGTACAGAGCTCTGAAAATGTAGAAAAAAGACCTGATGTTAACATACCACTTTTAAAGAAAAAAACAAAACAAAACAAAAACAACAAGAAAAAACCCACCCAAATAAAAGATGGTTATCTGAGTCATATACCAGGCTGGCGTACAGGACCATCTCTCGCCCCTCTCCTGCGCCTCGGTGGGTGATGTTCCGGGGGAGGACGGAAGCCGGTTTCGGCCCCGTGGTTTCGGCATGGCTGCCTCGCCGCGCCCTGCGGAGCGGCCCTGGCCCGGACGGAGTCGGGGCATTACAGGCAGGGTACAGCC